GAAATTATTTGTAAAAATAATAATGCAATTTTTTTCTAAAATTACTAGTTTTTTTTGCAATTATTAATTGTTTTTATTTATTATTAATTACTTTTTTTATTTCAATTTAATTTTTAATTACAGAAATTATTTTGGAATTAGGATAATTAAGTTGGAATTATAGGAATTAAGGGAATAATAAAATTTTAGTTACATTTTTTCAAGTTAACGACCCCTCGCTTTTTTCAGAATTTTACAAATTTCAGTAACTTGTTGTTTCAGATACAACTCAACCCTCGTCGAGAAGTACAAAACCGACCCAAACAAGCTGAAATTGCTGAAAGAAGGGTTGCACTTCGCCGAGAGGACAATCCTGATCTCCGAGGGCTCCTTCTCATGGTTTGACGCTTCGGCTGATTCCGATTGGTTGGAATGTCCCGGAAACCAAACCCTAGTCTGGAAAGGGGTGGGCTACAAAACCATCCTCGAAATCCTCATGAAAAACTACCCCAACCCGGCCCAAAAACTACCCCTAACCGACAATCTCCTCCTCGACTCGAAAGTAACCAAAATCAATTGGGGGGAAAAACCCCTCAAAGTCCACACTTCTCTCAAGGTTTACTCGGCCGATTTCGTCATTTTCACCCCCTCGATTGGGGTTTTGAAGGCCGGGGGGGAGTTATTCACCCCTCCTCTCCCCTCCAAGAAGCGCCAAGCCATAGATTCCATCGGTTTTGGCGGAGTTGTGAAGCTTTTTCTGCGATTTCCGGTCAAGTGGTGGAGTGACAATGACAAGTATTTTGCCTTTTTCTGGAGTGAAACCGACTTGGAGAGTGAGAATTTCCCACAAGGGCCCCGGAAAAATGGGAAATCCTGGGTCACCCAACTGTTGGATTTGTCCCGAGTTGGGTACAATACCAACGTTTGGATGATCTGGATTTCGGGTGAGATGGTCCCCGAGATTGAAAAACTGTCACTTGAGATCCTCAAACAGGGGGTGAAATTCACCCTTGAGAAGTTCCTCGGGAAGGATTACAATATTACGGAAATAGGGGAGGTTTTAAGGTCAAATTGGGTCGCCAATGAGAATTTCCGGGGGACGTATTCGTTCACGAGGAAAGGGTTGTACCAAAAAGGGGTGTCGTACCAGAACGACCTGGGGGAGCCCCTCCAAGGGCTGCTTTTCGCAGGGGAGGCTACGAATCCGGTGCATTTTGCCACGGTGCATGGGGCCATCGAGAGTGGCCATCGGGAGGCCCAAAGAATCCTCGACTTACAAAATAAAAATTAAAATGTACGATTAAAGGTCAATAAAGATAAAACAAACAAGTTATACAGGGTGTTCCATCTAAATCCCACATTAGAAGTATTGGGAGTTGGAATAATCGTATTTTTTTGAAAATTGGTACATAGCCATAAACCATTAAGTCCTCCTAAATGAAAATAGTTTCAAGATGGCGGCACTTCCGCTTATACCGGAAGTCGGTTTCAATTTTCTTATTTTAAATGGAAAGGTATATTTTTTACTGCGTTTTTGGATTAATCGGGTTATTTTAAGGGAGTTTTCATCAGCTTTCCCTATACTTAAATTTAGCCGTTTTTGAAATATTTGGAGTTTTTCAAAAATTTTTGGATCTGCACCTTCCTCTTTAAAAATCGGTAACTCTGCCATTTTTTAAGATTTTGAATTCGTTTTTTGTCAACAACTTAACCTTGGAATTAGTTTTATTAATTAATAATGACACAATTTTGTGTACTTTAGAGGTTTTAAATCTGGTTGAAATGGTGGTTGTGTCGTAAAATACAAAAAATCTGCTGTTATTTACTACTGTTCAGGTCAACAAACACTGACCATTTTTACTTTCTATTTCTATCATTGTTTGAATTGAGAAACCAAAACAATTCAAAGAGTCGTAAATCTGGTCGAAATAGTGGTGAAATGTACGGAAATATCGCGATTTTTGCATCTTTTAAGAATAAATTTGAAATTAAGAAAAAAGCTTTCAAATTTTAACCAAATGTGTTTTTTCTTGTTACTTTTGACATTTTGTATCAGAATTCTAGAAGTGGCAAAAATCTTTCATAGTTTAAGCTGATTTTTTAATTTTTAATTGAATAAATTAATAGTGGAAACAAAAAATGGTTTTAATAACTATTGACCACCTCATTTAACGGATCTGGCACTCATTGAATTTTTTTCGTTTGTCGATTACAACTATATCTAGCAATGAAATTTATAGTGGACTAATTATTAATGAGTTTTTCATTTTTTATCACCATTACTATAAATTTTTGATTTTGTGACGTATTAATTTTGAAATTTTATCGTAATTGCTTGGAATTATTTGGAAGTGTTTTGATTTTAATTACTGGAATTACCGCATTTTTTGGAATTTTGAAACAAATTTCTTTTAAAAATTGCGTTGAACTTGTTAGAATTAATTGTAAATTACAGAAATTATTTTAGAATTACGAAAATTAAGTTGGAATTACAGGAACTAATTTAGAATTGTAGGAATTAATCTGAAAACAATGAATTAACAAAATTACTGAATTTTGGTGAAATTTTTCTGAAATTAATAGAATTTTTTAAATTACAAGACATGAATTGCCGGAATTATTTGTAAATTACTAAAGATTTTCTAGAATTACTAGAATGTTTTTGGAACAACTAGAACTCTTTTTGCAATTATTATCGAAGATAATTTCTATCTATAAACTTTCTATAAACTATCAGAATTTATTTAGAATTACAAAAGTTATTTTGGAATTACGGTAATTAAGTTGGATTAAAGGAATTAATTTAGAATTTRAGGAATTAAATTAATCTGAAAACAATGGAATTACGATGAATTAATAGAATTACAGGAATTACTTCTAAATTACAAAATTACGTTGAATATCTTA